ATAAAAATAGTATGTTTTCAATAATAGTGTAAAATAAAGCAAAAATATATCCGTCTCTTATTTAATTCGTTCTCTTAGTTTTCTCTAAACGGTGTACGGAGGAAACATTTAAAAACCATTTTGTACAGCGTGTCTCAATTACTCCATTCACTTTTTAAAATGTACAGAGTTATTGATTGAACTTTGGCCACCCCGTATTTACATCTAATCTGAAACTTGTAGTTTATTCAGATTATAACTTGTAGTTTATTCAGATCACACCAGTTGAGACAGGGGGTGTTAAATTTAAGTCGCGGATTAAACTTACATTTTTTTAATGGCATGCCGAACTTTTTATTGCATATTCGAACTATTCGCAAAATTATAGAAGAAGAGAAACTCATAAAAAAACCATACATCTTGAAGTGCAGTTAAACAAAAATTCGAAACTCCTTCACTTGCATCAACAAACTGAAATTTTCGCACCATCTTGGCTTTGTGGAAAAGTGGACCAAATTTCAATAAAATCGCCACTTCTGCTGATTTTTCAGAAATTTTTAAACTTGGTAGATTAATAAAACCGGCCAACTTAAATTAGAGTTAAACAAAAAATTCGTAACTCTCAAACCACTTACATCAACAAACTGAAATTTTCGCACCATAAAGATAAAAGTTTTGTCGAAAACCGGACAAATTTCACTAAAATTTCAAATTCAGCTCAGTTTTCGAAAAGTTTTAAACTTGAGAAATCAAAAAAAAAACTTACAACTTGAAGTGTGGTTAAACAAAAATGTGGAACTCCCAAACCACTTACATCAATCAACTGAAATTTTTGCACCATAAAGAAAAATGTTTTATCGAAAAGCGAATCAAATTTCACAAAAATTTCAACTTCATCTGATTATCCATACATTTTTAAACTTGACGAAAAATTKTGCATTTATTATTATTAWTATTATATTATTATCTACAACTTTTGCATTTATTATTTTTCTCTAAATCTGAGGTTAGATGTAAAAACGGGGTGCCAAAGTTCAATCAATAACCCTGCACATTGCATACTATACTTCTATCGATTRCCATCAAATAAAAGATGAAATAAATAATGATARAAGTGTTCMGATTTTTGAGATATTTGATACTTTCTTATAAACAAGAGCAAAGTTTTAAAACTCATATTCTCAACAGTTATTTAGAATTTCAAAACCAAATTAGCGGTTGTAAATAGTTCAAGTTTTGAGGCAGAGTTCAATAAAAATTGAATATACACGGTGTATAAGCGCAAAAGCTGTAGTCCAAGTACAAGTTCTCGTTGAAATAATTACGTCTTTTGAACGGTTTCTTCCTTGATTTAAATGAAACACTCATTTTAGACCAATAACAGCTATACAATTAATTTTCCCTTGAATACTATTACTAAGTATTACTTTTTAAAGCGTGAATAACCCTGTATAGTAGTTTGAAACTTATCCTGTTCCAAAAGCAAAAAGCGGCATGTTAACGACCCCTCATTATAATGGCACTAGAAACAACTTGCACATGTCTGTCCGAAGAAAAAAACCATTCGTTAGTTATGTTTTTTCACTGCACGTATCATTTTCACTCTCTTGTTCATCTTATTGCATTTCTATGCGCGCCAGACTCATCACGACCGCTTTCGGCCCGTCTTGCAGTGCATTGCAGAAGAAAATGCCTGTGTATAAATAACCTTTCACGATATTTGAATTTGAGTTCGCTGCAATGAATAGCACAACTTTACAGAACCAAACGATCAATGACATTTTTTCAAATACCACCAATATTAGTAGTTCTTGGAAACATAGTATGCATTTTTTTGCTGGAAATGGTGCATGTTCGGAATGGATTATGTACACGTACCTGTCGGTACTTTTTTTAGGATCTTGTGTGAATTTATTAGAATGTGTCGCTTTGCTCAGATCTAAAAAGAATGGTAAGTACAATTTAAAGTAAGCACTATAAGAATTGGTTCGAACTTAACTTTCGCGCTGCTTTTAATAGGTTCCAAATTAGTTATTAGATAGTAAATATTGTTCTGTTCTGAGATACAAACTATAATTGGCTCTTTCAGATTTTCATTAAATATTTTATTTTTATTTCGCTTACTGTAAGAAAAACTGCACAACGTATTTAAATGATTAAATTACAATAAAAGTGGGTCAAACTGTTAATAACACAATCTTTGAACGAAAATAAGGCGGCTCTATTCAAGGCTGCATTTTAAATGTTACATACAGGGTTTCATCTGTTTATTTTCTTAAATATTTTTATTCTCAATTATCAGGAAAATTTTATTTAAAACATGTACTTTTATTTCTTTCTGTTGTTTTTGAACCGGGGTGAAAAATATAAAGTTGTATTTTTTAACTGAGACACTTCATAAAGGGTATCTAATTATTGCGTACAGGTAAGGCAATTTTAAAATTGAGTTCAAGCTTTCGCTCCGCAAATAATTTAATTTCAAAAAGGCGACAACTTGCTCTTTGTTTTACTTAAATTATTTGAAACTAAAAAAATCGTGATTATCTGTTTTAAAATATTAACAAATTTATGATGAACACTTGATGAGTCCTTGAGTTGATAATTTGACTATTTTCGCAATTACAGTCCAAATTGAATAAGTTTTCTCGCACGAAGGAATTATTTGAGTATTTTTATTGTTCACAATTTTTCACTAATTGAATTCTGCGCAAAAGTAAGAATTACTAATTGATGAATAGATAATAAAACAAGAAAAAGAATAACTTGAAATATTTATGAAATGCAACAATTTCGATATTTATAAAATTTCAATTCAATTTTAAAATTAATTATAATATAATTTTAATCAATCGTCAAAATTAAGCGCGTGGACTAGTGATTTTCTACTTTATTATAAAAAAAATCACTGGTGTGTAAGTACCTTAGAAAGGGCTCGAATGTCTGAGCAATTATTAGAAGCTTTTTATTAAAATGCACCTGCAGAAGTTCTTTTCTTAATTGGGTTTAATCAGAAGTTCCTGATATTTACAAATTTAGAATAAAAAATGCCAAACATTAAGAGGTCTTCTAAGTTTAAGAGCTTTTATTGCGGAAATGGTTAAAGAAATTTTTTCGAGCTCTTAAGAGTTATTTGCGATTTATTTTGCCATTTTAACAGCACTAACTAAAAATTAAGAAAAGTAAATAGCAGCTTTTACCTCTATTTTATTTTATAAACTTATGTACCCAAATGTTATAATTATTTTTTATTATTTTTTTTCCTTACTACGTGTAATTGTTATTATATTATTTTCTTTCCTGCGCTCCAGTCAAAGTGTAAAACAAAAATTTGTATATTGTTTATTTTATTACGTTTCGACGAGACAACAGCCATCATCAAGTTTTTAAAATTCATACAAACTACAAACACCAATTTACAATTAAAATATGTTGTACAAAAACTGTAATTTATAAACTGTTAAAACATTCATTAGTTCTTGAGAAAAAAAGAAACTTTCCGTTTGGGAGAGCAAAACATTTGAAAAACTTACCACATCATTAGTAAACATTACATTCATTTAAGTCTTTGCTCTCTTGAAACCTTCAATTTGTTTGAATTATTTTCTACATTTCCCAGAAACAAATTGTAGGTTTCAAGACAGCAAAGACTTAAATAAATGTAATGTTTACCAATGATGAGGTAAGTTTTTCAAATGTTCTGCTCTCCCAAAAGGAAAGTTTCTTTTTCGTCGAGAACTGAATGAATGTCTTTAGAGTTTATAAATTATAGTTTTTGTACAACATATTTTAATTGTAAATTGGTGTTAATTGTAGTTTGTATGAATTTTAAAATGTGATGATGGCGCTGTTGTCTCGCTGAAACGTAATGAAATAAACAATATACACATTTTTGGTTCACACTTTGACTGGAGCCCAGGAAAGAAAATAATATAATAAAAATGTTATAATTAATGTTTTTAATTAATTTGTTATGGAATAACCGATATTGCACAATAGATAAATGCCAGACTAGTATGTGACTATAGTCCCCTTAGTGTTATTTTTTCAGTTGCTAAACATCCTTGAAAGAATGAGAAATATTTACACGCATTAATTCTTAATTTTATCAGGAATTAAAACATGCAAGAATAAGAAGGGTGGCTCACTTAAAACAAATTTTTTTTTTAACTGATACTTTTTAACTGATACTGAAAATTACCAAGCGATTGATATCATAGAGTATATTCTCTAACAATTATTAAAGTTAGTTTATTACAAAAATAATTAAGAAACAAATAAATATTGGAATTCAAACAGATGAGTTAATGATCACGTTTTACAACATATATATTTACAAGTTCTTATTCCTTCGTTTTTATTAAAATCTGAAATGGCCATCTTCATGAATATTATCCAAATTTTTCATTTAAAGAAATTGTCCAATATTTTGAATCTCAACTGTTAAACCTCTTCGGAACAATTCTAATTTAAATAAATTTCTATTTTCAGGACTGTTATGCATAGTTTTTCAAATTGCTCTGGCGGACCTACTGCTGTTCTTCATTGCCCTGCTAGAACTGCTTAATTCATACCATCAATCATGGAGATTTTCTAGTCAAAGCTGTATGATCTACAAAGGAACTGAAATGCTGACAAATACTTCCATTACCTACTTGTTGATTTGCCTCAATTTCCATATTGTCACGTTTTGGAATCTTTATAATGTGGAATTGGTGAAAAATAATAGGAATCCTTTAACGAGTTTTAACGATAGCAGCAGTGAATGTCTTGTAACCAGAAACGAAAACCGAATAGTTAATATAGATTACCAAAAACGAAAAAATGACGTTCCTGTGATACTACCAGTGATATTCTTATGGATTTTGTGCTTATCTATAAGCATGCCCACTTATGTTTTGTCATCAACTGTGCAAGTGCGAGGAAAAACGCTGTGCATTTTGGCAAATAATTATGGTGCGATTTTGCAGTCTTTACTTTTGGTATTTAGCACAACTCTTCCTTGTTTTCTTCTAATAGTTTCCATGTTAATTCTAATTTATAAGCTATTCAGGACGTCTGGAAAAGACATAGACAGGGTACTAACAAAGCAATTTGAAGAAATTCGAAATCTACTGATATTCGGAATTGTCTTTACAATATTTTACATAATCATTTCCTATCAAAGGCATGTCTTAAATATGTTCTCTACTGTTCGCCAATTTTTCGTTTCTGAAATTTATTATATTAACTTTCCTAACGTGTATTTGACTATGATGCACTACAGCGGTGTGTCTTTCAGAGGACTACTATGTTATTTGGCTCTTCCTAGTGTGCGAGAAGCTGTGAGAAAACATATTTTCTTTTGCACTAATAAAATTACGTAAATTATCTATTAACTTAAAATGTAAGATGTAAACTATCGAAAATTATTGCACCAAACACATAGCAGCAAAAAATACATATAGGTATGTATGTTTCAGAACTAAAGTGAGAGAAGTGTGGCATCAAAAAACACTTAAGTAACTCTTAAGTACTCTGGAATATTACTATAAAAACGTGTGTGTTTTTCTCTGCCTTTGTCTGGGACAAAAATATAAACCTTTTTTATCATGCATTTGTATATTATGTGCTATAAAAATAAATACTATTTGCAACTAACATTGTGTTGTTGTTTCGGCCGTTGATCCGTTAGTTGTGTCGCCTAGATATTTGTAATTATTTGAACTTCTGCTTCAAATAATTTTTTAATTTAGCAAACTTTTATTAATGCAATTTAACATGCTTTTGGCTACTAATTTATAAATTTTAATGTTTATTCTAGGGTCTGGTAAAATGTGAATAAATTGATAATTACTATTTTCTTATAAATTAAATTTACAGTAGGTACCTACTCAACATTAATGCTATCAAATTGTCGTACATATTTAGATTGTATATTGATCGCATTTGCAAGCATATGCGAGAGAACGCATTAATCTATTAAGCCAATAAAAGAACTAAATAAACATAATATATGATCCAGGACATGTGGTGAAGCGTGAGACCTTGTGAGAGCAAATGCAATGAATAAGATAATGTTCGCTTTGAGTGCCTGTTATCGGAAGGTTTATTACATCCTTTATAAAGTTAAAGTGGTAGATACCAGAGTTTTTGAATCAGTATCACAAATTGAGAAGTTTAATGCATCTTTAAGTTTTGGCTGTCAGTTAAACAGGGTTCTGTATCTCAATAACGTCTTTTCCTAGTAAGTCATTGATTTCGGAAGTAGAAATAAAAATAGCGAACAAAACAGAAATATTTCCTTAGAATGTATCTTTATAGAGGTACTCAAGAGTTACTAAATACGGCTAGAAACTTGTTTTGCGCAATTGGGAAAAAATAGGAGGCAAAACTGTCATTTTGATCTGACTTTTGTGTGATTTTGACGAATTTTTTCAACCCCATCTGATTCAGATTCTTAGATTCATCATATTTTGCATAATAATTTATTTCTCGCTAATACAATGTGGTGGAAAATTGCTTTTGGTTGTTTAATCGAGAAAAGCTGCGCTAGGAAAAATATAAGTATTTTTGATTCTACTTCTTCCGGTGTTTTCATCAGTTATTATTCGAAAATGTTTTTCATCCAGTCAAAAAATTTTTTGTTAATTTTTCAAATATCGATTTTCACTGCTTTTTTGAGTAATTATTTGCACATTTTCAAAATACAGCTGCAAATTTTCGATACTGTTTCAGCAGAATGGCTTTAGTTTAACAATTGATTCCTTAACGGTGCCCAAATATCATTTTGAACGTAATTCAATAGCAAAAACTATATTTAATTAATGCTGTAAGTTTCACTTTTGGCTCTATTTTAGTTACGAATAAACAATTTTTCAAACATTTCCCTGCAAACTCGCTGTTCGGTGTCAGCACATTTAGAAAGGTCAATTCAAAAATTTAGTCCTCAAAAGCAAAATATCCCAGCGGGTTTGTGTTAACTCTATTAATAGACTAAATTTAGGGCTATAAATGCGGCCAGTTTCAATCCAAAACGGCTTTAAGTCAGCAAATTTTGCATCCTTTTGTTCAGGAATTAATATCTCCCCGATACGATCAGGTAGGAAGTTGATAAACCAGTATTCGGAAGAAAAGGCACTGATCATATAACATGATAGTTTCACTTTTAAGTCTACTTTGGAGTGGGTTTTTACAATTTTGTTGCGAAATTTTATACGAAAAAGCGCACCAGATATGATGAGAGGGCGCCGTCGGATGGTCGCAAACGATCTTGAAGCAAATGTAGGCTCCATTGCCTTAAAGAGTTCGTTTTAGTTTCATTTTATAGACGAAAGCAGTTTCTACTAGGGCGGCAAATTTCTGTTATTGTTACGCTGTTGGCTATATTTTTGCAAAATTAAATAGATTAAAAAATGCTGAAAAAAAATAATTTTTTTGACTTCGGTTCCATAATTATTTTTTGTTAAATATATGATTTCGCAGCAAATCTTTTAACATCGTTAAATATACGAAAGTACGCTCTATTGATACTGCAACTTTCAATTTTCTTGCTTATTGGGCTAATTTTGGACAAATTTTCAACGCTTTATTTGTAAATTTATGTTCCTCTGATCGATAAATTGTTATTAAAGCGTCGCTATTCAGGCCACTAAATGGAACAATTTCCTCTCTACTACTCCTTAAATTATTAATTATCGCCGCTTTTTTGTATAATTATTTCCAAACTTTCAAAATACTACATTTTATTAATAAACTGCTTTAATTTTTTTTATGTAATTTCTAGACTTATTAATAGAAGAAATAGGTGGTAATAATTTCGAAAGAAAAGCAATTGTTAAGAATAAAAAGCTCATTTTTTAACTTTTAATTTGGGTTTTTTATTTTAATCTACTTTCCATATTTTCAAGTCGAATACTTTTATACCTTTTTCAATCGAATTAAAAATAAGAACATGCAGTTATCTCGGTATCAAAGTTCAGAAATATTAGCAGAAACTATATATTTCTAACGTTCAATTATACGAAAGATATACAGGATGTCCCGTAAGCAGATGATGATCAAAAGAACACTGAGACATTATTTGGCCCAAAAGAAGACAATCTGACTTAAGCTTTATTAAGAAATATGTCTGGCTATACTGCTATTGATGGTCAAAGTCCTTCAAAAAATTTATGTTTTTTGAAATAGAGAACAAGAGACGATATATTTTAATGAAACTCACTGTGAATGTTTCCTATTTAATACTAATGTTTTGATGAAGCATCCGAGTTCATCGGCTTTGGGCAAGTGGTGAATTATTGAGTGTCTTGGTACGAAAACTACTAGAACTTTTTATTTGGTAGCTGGAATCAACTATTATTTTTTTCGAGTTGATGCACTAAACCTTTTTGAATATTTTTGGGATCTTCGTAAAATCTTGTAGCATTCATAGTTCTTGCGCAAACAAATTATTTTTATTTCCTTGCTATTGAACAATTTCAGACATTAACTGCGAAACGTAGTAAGCGACAATGTTCTTTCATAACAAATTAATTTGCAAGCGTCTCACAATTTTTAGCTGAACGACATAGTAAAAGTTTTAGGCTCGGCCGTCTTTTGGAAGCGTTTTCGTCCGAATTGCGTTCATCAGCAATCTCACGAAATTGTATATACTTTCCTGACTGTGTTTCAATTCCAAATCAAATTCATTCCTGGGTTTCAGTCATTTATTGTCTCTATTTATCAATCAAAATACGTTTCGGTGTATTTTTCCACCATCATCAGTTTTTATGTGTAGCGTTGTTGCTGCTTTAAGCTTTGGTATGCATTTTTGACATAACATACATAAAACCCAGGAATGAATTTGATTTGGAATCTCACGAAAAAAAGAAGTAAGTTTTTAGCAAAATATGGCTTTCACGTAGAAACAAATCCACAGCAAGTTTAATTAAAATCCACCTGAGCACTTTACGATATCACAAAGTACTTCATTTACGATTTGTTACTGCAATGAATGTCGGTTGCAAGAAGAGAGAAATACATTTTTGGCGCAAAAATTATGAATTCTGCAAGATTTTGCAAAGAGGATGAAAATGTCAAACAAGGAGTAGTGCAACTAAAAAAAATCAGTTGATTGGAGCGACCAAATAAAAAGTTCTGGTAGTTTTTGTACCAAAACCTTCAAGAATTCCCCACTTGCACAAAGCGATTGCACTCGGTTGTATAATAGGTTTCAATGCAATAGCCGAGAAAAGCTGCTTAAAACCCTTTCTAGAAATACATGATTAATGATAATGTTTATAAAATATAATGTAAGTAATACATATATGCAAGATTCTTAACTATACCACAAACCATACTGAAAATATTGTTCTTTTAGCAATGTATATAAGTTTTAAGTGCAATCTTAGAGAAACTGTATACAATTCTACTGAGTTGTTACGTTAAGTTACAAAAACTTCACTAAGTTTAAGTAACGTTTAATGAACACAAAACTAAATTAGCTTTTTGATTAGAGAATTAAAGTTGTCTGATTGACCACGCGATTGGAATAGATTGAAAAACGCATCGATCATATTTCAAACATATAAACTAGATACTCAGCAAACAAATCGAAAAAACTCACCCAGAAAGGAAATAACTAGAATAATTCAAGCGGAGATATAAACAACGGAAAAAAACATCCATCGATCGAGTATCGGCGATGATGTGAGAAGTAAAGAAACTGACGAATACGTTAGAAAAATGTTGGGATTGCCCGATCATTCCTTAACATTAGTGAGTTTTTCGGGCTATCAGACCATCGTGGAAAATAATTTCTTCCCGACGTTTCGCAGGGGCAAACAGCTTGCATCCTTCGCTCAAACGCGTGCACTGAACTGAGGATGCATATCAATATCGAAAAGACATTATTTTCCACGAAAAACTTACTAGTTTCAAAAGGAATTAAGTCCAGAAAGGCGAGTTGTTCACAAACGAGTCCGTAAAATTGAATTTTTACGTAGCTAAATTTTTAACTGAGAGCGCTAGTCAAAGGGGTGATTCTAAAACCCTCAGGCTTTCTAAAGTGTCGGTTATTTTTTGTATTCGCAGTTCTTTGATTTACGCTCCGGAAATATAAAAATCATGTTCCAAACGTATCTCGATAGTAGATGTGTATATTTTCGTCCATACCCACTAATTTGTTAATTATTATAGTAATTATCGTTCACACGGATGCTTCTATTCTTGATATGTTTGTATGTTTCGGATTCAACCCAAATTACGTTTAGACTTTTCTAAAAATATTTTTAAGTCATTGTTTATCGACCTTGTGCTTCTGTAAATATGCACAATCGTATCTTTAAGCCTTATTTTGCATAAAAGTTAAAGAATTGTAGAAGGCTTTCTCTAATTTACATTAACTACATACAATTTATAATCACCGGAGAATAAGTTGGTAATACTTCAATACCGACACCACAAACCCGTTAATTGGAAAGTAACAAATAAAACATTTTTTATACAATCATGTATATTCTGTATTTAATATCAACAAAACAATTACTATAACGCTAGAATACCTGTGAAATAGTCTTCGAGATTATTACAGAAACAGGCGAGATCCTGTATCAAAATATACTGGATCAAATTTACATCTTTTTTATACTTAAATTCCACTGTCGCTACAAAATATTGCTACTATTATTACCTTACATTTATTATGCACATGTCGGATATTTCTACCGAGCCTTGACTTTTTGGTTTTTCATTAAATTCATAGACACGGAATAAAGAACTGGAACATAATGGATAACAACGTATACGAGTACTAAATACAATGTTATTGCTAAAGTTACGATGAGATCAAAAACGGCTGGTTTAACACTGAAAACAAAAACAAATATAATAATTTTCGAAACACTCAACTGAGCACACCATAAAACATTCATTAATAAAATTTGTCAAAATTTAGATAAAAAAGCTTCGCTATTATTAAAGAATACTATAGAAATTATAAGTAGTAATGCAGTCTGCAGAAACTCGGTGAATTTATAAAAGCAGATTTTGCATTCAATTCCTGTGGCCTGATTTGTGTAGCTGAAAATCAGGTTTTGACGAGCCTCATCATTGCAACCTCGGAAACAATAAAGAGATACAAGGTTGAATACAAGGTCAATTGCACGTTTTAAATCTGGTATTTTGGTCAGCATTTGCTAACTTCTTCTCAAGATATTAAGAAACGAAAATGAAATTTTCAGAAACGGTTAAAAACCATTTCTGAGTGAGTTTGAGTAGACAACTGAAATCGATTGATCTATTTGTATGGCAACTTTTTACCTCTACAAAATATCGATGTTATGTTGCCAATACGACTTTTCGATTTTAAGCAGTCATCATATCGATGATAGTGACTATGAAGCCCCTGCTGCTAACAATGAAAAAAGCATAATGAATTGGAGAGATTCCTTGCTGAATTGGCAATGGACTATGCAGGTATGAAGAAAGCAGCCAAAAAGAAGACGAAAAGTGAGAGCCCAGAAGAGAATGGCGAAGATCAAGCTGAAGAAAAAGAAAAATATGGAAAAATGTCAGAAAAAATGAAGAAACAAAGTCCAGTTGAAGATGCAAAACCGAACGACGAAGTAGCAGAAGTTTCAGAGCCAATGCCGGTTGAAGAAGAAAAATACAGGCAAGGACAAGCCTGCCGAAGATAAAGTTAACGAAGAGGGACAAAGGAATTCAATGGTATTGAAAAGGGGAGTACTGAAAAGGCGGGTAAAAAGAAGAAATGAGCTAAGGAGAAGGATGCAAAATATACCAAAACAAAGGAACGCCCGCCAAAGGAAACTTTGGTAGCCATGCATGAAGCATTGAAGAAACTGAAAGACGATCAGGAGGAAGTAAGAATGAGAAATAACGAATATATTTTAATTAGGGATCTGCCAGGAGAGGAAACCATTAGAAGATTTAGTAAAAATCGAAACGAAATAAGAGGGGAACATAAGAAACATATTAGAATAGTTTAGAAAATATTAAAGAAGAACGAACGTAAAAAACGGACACGAATAGTTACGAAGAGGTCTGACGGCGTAAAAGTAGTTCATATTGCTGGACCGAGTGTAGGAGTTTAATTTGTATCCACTCTCCGTCATAAATTACCCAGGCAGTCCGGGACGTAAATCGATTTTAAAGACGTTCATTTAGTCCAAAACAGTCCGTATACTTACCTGCAATGTGCAAGAACGTTAGCCGAACGTGTAGTGTCGGTGAATCAACCCTAGACCATTAGAAAATCCTACATTATCTTACCTGTAAATGTTCAAAGTTCCGCCAGTGGTGCCAAAGAATTGGTAATCAGGATCTCTCTTGTCTGGCATGGCAAAAGTTATTTTAACGTCTCTTAAATATTTGTTGAAATTGTCTTGTAGTGAAACAACCAACGCGTTATCTTTTGTACTAAGTAATTGAGAAGATCTAGGTTGGCCCGCTAGGTGGTTCAGCCACGCATCTATGTAAGCGGGGTTTACATCCTGAAATTTGTATTACCAAGGGTTAGCAAGTTTATAAATACATTATAATGATGGCAGTATAAACTTTTGATTTATTTAAATAGTGCATATGAAATTACATGTTCTTACCCAACTGCCACCAAATATTCCCCCATCAGGAATATCGTAAACAAATTTTCCGATAGAGTTTACAATAATTTTAGCATTTCTCTCCAATCGATTTATGTCTAAGTTTTCGCTATTATCCAAAATTGTAGACCTCCATGAGTCTTTATGACTTTTTACAGAGGAAAGTGTAAATGCTGTTAACCTGCAAATGTTGATGTTAATATATTGAACAACACTATTCAATCAGTCTTGTGAAATATACCGTCTTATGCTGTATCGTTCATGTTCCCAGGCCAAAATATCCTCTGCTAAATTAATTTTTTTATGAACACCCTCTATGGACACCGAAGGATAATCTTCTCCAACTGACTTTAAATTCTTGTAAAATATAGAAGCTGGTGAGCCGTCCTTTGGAGGCTTCGAAACGTGCATGAAAATGGTGTCTGATGCTGCTAATGTATCAAGACATAGTACAAATGATGCTTCCTGAAAATATTATTAATTTGTATCATTTTTACATTTCACCAATAATCAGCAATAACGCAACCTTTTTTCCGTGTAAATTATTTTATATGATACAGTTTTCATTCGGTCAGTCAACTAAATCAAAATGAAACAAAACCTTATTGAACAAAGAGATAAAAACGTATGTAGGTGTTATTTCAGCAGGTTTTTTGTATTAACTTGAAACTTCGAAATTTCAAAAACTTTTTCGTATACGAAAAAGGTGACAAAATAAGTTAGTTTGTATTTTATTACTCCAATCGATACTGTAATTTAGAATCTGCGTTTATTTTTCAAATCTGTTTCTTGCCTGTATCAGTGACCCCTCAGATGAATCCAATTGCTCTTCCAACCACTTCTTGCTGCCTTGGAAATTAATCTTGCCGCCTCCGGCAAGGACAAAAATGATGTTGAACTTTCCTCTTGTTTTGGGATCGGCATATAATCCGGACAATAATCGTATCAGTTCCAGCATTACAATTACTCCTGATCCATTTGCATCTGCTCCATGTGATAATTCCTGCAGTGGAAGAAAAAAATGTTTAATATATTCAAAACAATCTGTTATTGTTTTTTTTAGCTTATAGCTGAAGAATAGCAATATTCGTTACTGCCTTATAGAAAATCTACATATTTGCTTTTTGCTGTTAACAAAATAAATCTGCACACGTACCGGTGCAACTCCGAAACTATCATAATGAGTTACAATTGCTATAGTAGGAACTTTTCCATCTGGCCTATATCCGGCTAAATGGCCATAAATGGTAGCAATTTTTGTATCCGTTCTTGCTGTTGGAGTTCCGGCGGAAATGACAATTTGATATCCGTTGGCAGCAATTGAGGAAAACAACGTTTCGGCCGCAGACTTTTTCTTATTTCTTGCATCCACATTGGTAGACAATTCAGTTACAATGTTATCAATGACATTGTTGTACTTTGTGAAATAAACGGGGATGGATGTCTCTTGTTCATAGATCATTTTTTGCTCCAACATTAAAATGTGCTAAAATTAAATAAAAGCTCTTATAATTCAAGTTGCTTCAGGCAAAGTAGGTGTCTTTACGTACTTAAAACTAGTGTTTTTTTTGGAATTGTATTTTCAAATAAAAAAGATAACATATATGAAGGGCTAAATAAAAACCCGAGGGGAAACTCGTAGTTATTACCTTCACCAAAACTCTCCCCTGCGTTCTTTATAATTTTAAAACGTTGAAGAACCACATTAATCCAACCATACATATTTTGTATATTTTATTTAATCTCCAAAGCTCCTTTTCTCAATAACTGCTTTTAAGGCTTGCTACACTTACGTCAATAAAACTTCATATATATTTCTAGTTCGTCTATAACATCACCTCCGAGAGTGAAAGGGAAATCATCTTACCTTTTCAGTTATATTCGATATACGTAGGAATTGTTTTTGAGACTTTGAGACCTACTCCCACGCCTTTTTTTAATCTTCAAATATTGATATGAAAAAAGTTGTAAAAAATGAATGTTAACTAAGTGTTTTCGTTATTTGTGTTCGTTTTCCTTTACTTATGAAGGAAAAGACAACCACCGAGGGATGTCAGCCATTTCAGGGTGGTACTACTATAAAATATAACATATCCTCTAGCGAGATAAATTTGATTTCTTTTTGTGCATCCACCATTCTGCCCAATACGGAAAACACGGCTGTAATTTCCAATTAGAGTGAATTTTCACGCGGATGGAGGGATAATCTACACCAAGGTAATGGAGGTGCAACAAAATTATTTAGTTGGAAAAATATGTGCTTTGGCACTACTCGGTTTTTAGGTCAAATGGCGGCAAAAGAACCTAATGGGTCTAATAATATACCCGGTTTTGAAGGCAGAATCTCATCCCTTATCTGGACAAAAGACACTAAATTCTTGATCGCAGAAGATGAGTGATAAATAATCTTTACTTCTATGAAAAAGGGAAACGACTACTTTGATCCTTTTCTCCTTGAAGTTACAATTTAATTTTTAAGACTGTAATGACAATACACACACGGAACAGTCTTTAGTGAGTCAGTTGTGGCGTTTGTAGGTGCTCAAGTAAAGAAGTTGCTGGAGAACGAAAACCGAGATTGTATTGTCTGTCTTGTTAGACAATTAGGGTTCAGTATAGACCAGGTATGTGGGTGGTTTTTCATTTTCTTTTAATTTGTTTCAATATTGGTGTTAGTAGACTTAGCGTAAATTGTGCTGTTGTTTGTATATGTCGTTTTGTCCTTTGTGGTCCGTTGAGTTTATATATATATGTATCTCCCTAGTCTAGGAGAGGTCTGCAGATCGCTTTGTATATTTTGGTGGAAGTATTTGTGCTAATTCCTTCGCATGTTAGTGATTAGAAGTGTTTTTTTTTCTAAAAGTTTCTGTTCTGGTGATTCCTGTGTGTGGATTAATGTAAAAAAATGGCGATTTATCAGATTACTAGTGAAATAATCGAGTTATTGGTGCTTGGTAAACTACCAGAAAAAGCTGAAAGTTGTGCTGAAAAATCCAGAAAATGATTTGGTTTTCCCCAAAAACAAAAAATTGGGGATTATTTAAAGGAAAATTGCAGGTTTTTGGGCGTCAAGTGACCTCAATAGAACGTGCAACTTGAAGTTGGTATTTGCTTTAGTATAGAAATTATGATTTTTTCAAGGAGAAATTATTGCATGGAGTTTTATTTTTGTCGCGCCATTTAATAAGATTTTATGAAAATTGAAAACTGGTTTAGGACGGTGAGATTTTTGGGTTTTTGGTTGGGTGAATTTCAAGTTGCTACCTGCTTCAGTTAGGAAGGTGCAAATCTTTTAAGAATATCTATCCAGTTGAGTGTGATTTATGGCTCCGTATTTAGAAGAAGCGGAAAAATTAGAAATTTGCGTCATGTGAGTGACAGTCGCAGGGTTATTAGCTTCGAGAGTCTTCTATAGGGTGTGCAAATTTCAAGTTGCTACCGGCATTGGGTTGAAAGTTGGTTTTAAGGCGAGTGTGCAGTTGAGTGTGAATGTTTATTTTTGGGCCCTGTTTTTAGATGATTTCCCAACCGATGATGATGGGGATGGTGTGTAATGTAAGTGAGAGTTTTCAGGTTTCTTCCCTCGAGTGCCTTCTATAGGGTGAGCGAATATCAACTTGCTACCCTCTCGGGATTGAAAGTTAGGCATTTTTAAATCAGAGCGTGCAATTACCGAGTTGACCAAACTTTTTGTTTGTTTGATTTTATGCAATTTTATTGAAAATTTCGTTTGCAGCATGAAGCTTCTGCTATACGGTGAGCGAATTTCAAGTTGCCCTCGACTCTGGATGAAAAGTTATACATTTTTAAGCCAGCCAAGCCTGTGGTGGAATATAAATGTTCATTTTTGGCTCGTCATTTGTAGGTTTGGTTAAAATTTGAATTCTATGAAATTTTATTGAAATTAGTAAAGTTTTCAGCTTCAAGTGTCTTCTATAGGGTGAACGAAATGTGCTGTCGTTTCTGGATTGGAAGTTAGCAATTTTCAAAGGTCAGGTCTCTTTGGAAATGTCGATTATTCTAAACCTGTCTAAACTGTTTGCAACTATAATCTTAATTTTCGCCGTTCTGTAAATGTGTTTCTCAATCTTCTGATCAGTCTGAATTAACTTGCTCATTTAAATTGTATGTCTTATCCATCTCTATTTGTTTCTAGTAGCTCATGTGTTTTACAACACATTCAGGACGATTTTGCTTTCAAAATGTAATTAATAAAATAATAGCCAAGTAAAATTCAAATTTTACCTGTTTCTCATCCTGTGTCAAATTTGACAAACTCTTGGGCAGTTCCACAATAAGGGCCCCAGCTTTTCCTCTTATATTTCGATAAGTTTCAATGCTTAAATCCATTAGTCGTGCAAAAACACAATGCCTGGATGAGCTAAATGTCGAAATTGATCTTGCTTCCAAATTTACTGATGCCATTCGACTGCCTGGAGTTGCCAAATGTATTGTAGAGATTCAATTATCGAAAGGAAAATTTGCCAATTCACTTACCAAAAGCCATGCCATGCAAGTCGAAGTGTTGCATTCGATAAGCAGGAAACTCATGGGACGCAGATACAGGGCTTGTAGAAGATACTAAAATGAATATAGGCAAAACTATCAGAATATAACAAGAAATGTTGTATCCTTTGAAAATTTCGTCGACTTCATCTAGCCACATTCTGAATAGCAATTCAATAAAAGCACTTAATTATCGCGGCTACAGGTTTCAAGGACTAACTGGGCTAATTAATCTATATGCACTCGTACAAAATATAACTTAAAATTCAAAAATAATTCAATAATACTTAGAATACGAATATATATCAGGTTAGGTTATAGAACTTATCAATCATGTGACTTCACGCAGACGCAGTTGAGTTGTGACGTTTCCCAAAAACTATCGACAGATCAACAGAATACTGGTTTATAGAAGTGAAGAATTGACTACGTGGATGCCATCTTTAAATCTGCTTTAACGCAATGCTTACTACCAGGGGAGATAGAAAAGTTTAATTTATTACAAGGCCCAAGTTCAAATACAATTTTTTAAATTGGCGTCGTTGGTTTGTCGTTATCATTTTTTGCTCGAGAATTATGAAACCCTGGCAAAAACCCCGACCCCAACGAGCTACCACCCTAGATCGCTTCTTTCTCACCTATACAGGGTGAGTTTTTTTCGATGACCAGTACAGAGATCTTCGAAACTATAGCAGTTACGAAAAACGTTAAATGGACAAGAGATGTAGTTTTGACTGCTCTACTCAAAACCTATTTTATTTTTTTTTAATTTGACAGCTGTCAAGAGATTTGGAAAAAAAATATATATGTTCAATTTTTAAATGACTCCTAGTTCCGTTGATATTAATTTGACAGGAAAAGATTAAATAGAAAACTTGTAGGAAATTGAATTTCAAACAAAATGGCATAAGACATTTCTCCAAAATAACTGTAATTTTTGATAACCATACTTAATTATTGCTTTACCGAATAGAGCATTTTATTACGATTTCTGTGATCACATCGTTAGAAATTTTTAGAAAATAAAGTGTGCGAAGAATTTACACTTTTCCAATTTAGTTGATCTAAGTTAGTCATGGAAAATAGTATAAGAAATAGCATTGTTTCCATAGCAACAAATAATTTCAACATCTTTCATTGTTTGACATTCAAGTTTAAATTCAGCTTAGAAAGATTTCTATTTCTTTCTTACAACTTAGTAAGAATAAGTCTAAGTAAAAATTAATAATTCCAATCAAGGAAAGCGCAAAATGATTGAAACCTACATTAGATGTGATGAAAATGCTAGACGAGCCTCTGATTACTATTTTGAGACGTATTTTGACCGTCGTCAACCGTACACCATACCGGTACACCGGTACATCTATGGGATGAGAAGCTGCGTGTGAATTTTTGTACATTGTCCCGAAACAAATGCCAACAAGACATCAAATTCCCTTGTAAAATATTGTGGCCCGATGAAAATCGATTTTCAAATTGTGGTATGTTTAATAGACACAATGAACAACTTTGGATTCAACCATATCCCCACCACGTTGAGCAAAGGAGACCACAAATTAAATTTGGGTGTAACGTTTGGAGCGGAATGGTGGGTTCAAAAATTATTTATTCTATTATTATTATATATATTATATTATATATATAATTTTTAATTATTATTATTGCCAACAATAAGGTTAAAATAAATACTAAAGCATACTATTATTATTTGTTATTATGGAATACTGTATGTCTTATACTATTTATTAAAAATTATAAATTGTTCGCAGACACTTTATTTTTGAAAAAAAACCTGTGTGATATATCACAGAAATCGTAATAAAATGCTCTATTCGGTAAATCAATAATTAAGTATTGTTGCCATTAAAAAAACTAAAATTTGTGTCATATGTCAAAAATTACAGTTATTTTGGCCTTATGCCATTTTGTTTGAAATTCAATTTCCTAGAAGTTTTCTATTTAATGTTTTCCTGTCAAATTAATATCAACAGAATTAGGAGTAATTTAAAAATTTACCGTAAATAAGTTTTTCCCAAACGTCTCTTGACAGCTGTCAATTTTTATAAAAATAAAATTGGGTTCGAGTAGAGCATTGAAAACTACAATTTTTTGGCCATTTAACCTTTTTCGTAACTGCTATAGTTTCCAAGATCCCTGTACTGGTCATCGAACAAAACTCACCCTGTATAAACTACTTTGAAAGATTAATCACTTGGGGCCTTTCTCCTGGCAAATTTCAACATTTTGCGCTTAAAGACGACGGAGAAATTTTCGTTTTAGCAACACCATGAAAGTGCGAATTTTCATTATTAAAGCCGAATAACTAAAAAACTATTTAATTTTCGTTCATAATTTAACTAAAAAGAATTAATTAAAATTTGGATAAGAATTCATCAGTAAAATAAAATATAGGGTATTTTAGTAGGAAACAGTTGTTTTTTGAGTTGCAACTTTTCAGACGTTCTCTAAATAATTGCCAACATTTTGAAAATATGCGTGCTTAAGAGTTTTGAAACAAATAATACTGATTTTCTATCTGGCTTCAAGTTGGGTTCAAATTAGATAAGTTATAATCGACTGAAAAAACGGCCCGTACTAAATCACCTTGAATATCTATGATTTTTTCTTGATAATAATTCGTTGAAGAATAAATAGCGTTTATTTAGCACAAGCATATCTGATAAGACCGTGTGAAGAGTGTACTGTTTACTTCCTGTTGACTAAACTAATCACTTCAGGGATTTTTTATAGTGATTTTCCCGTTTGTCGATAGATAAATTCGAAAGGGTGGAAAGGGGGGAAAAGGCGACGAATGCGTGCAGTCCACCGGCAAACATCTGCTACTCACCCTAACTTTTACGCGCAGACTTTATTCGAAAAACTACTCATCTACTCACAGGACCTGCTTATTGCAAAGCTTTGTAAAGCTCATGCTATAGTTTTCGATCGCCTGAACTTCAGTTACCGGTTGGCAATGGTAAAGTTGGTATTCGGTTTTGCCTAGTGTATCTGCCTTTGTATATCAACAAAAATAAATAATAGTCTAAATTCGGCCTTTTATACTAAGCGAATATTTTCTAAAGCTGACTACCACATGCAGATTTATTATTATTAAACATTGCGCTTGGGAACAGATCTGTGAATTAAGCTTCAATGTTGTAAAAGTTTCCTGTGAGTGAATGGAACAACAGTTAAAAAGTTGTTTATAATGGTAAGTCATATTCTTTTTAAAAGTGTAATGGTCTTCGATAAACAAAGTTTTTTAAACTTTCGTTATAATTCGGCGTTCGATTAATATTGGAATTCATAGAGAAAAAACAAGTACAATTTAGTTGTACTTGTAATATATTTCAATTGAAAGTGCAATATAAAAAGTATTTAGGGCTGTTATAAAATAATGAAATTTAAATACGATACTTTTTCACAGTCACAAAAAAATTAAAGTTATGTTTTTGCCTCAAAGATAAAAAACCGATAAACATTCGAAAGTAAAACATTACACGAGCAAGTATTCATTAAATTGGGTTATTTTTGTGAAGTGAATCTTGGTTGCAACTAGACGTATTCCACTATTGAATAATCAATTATTTCTTCTACATTTAATTTATTTCCCCTTTACGTTTGGATCGCGATTTCGATTTCTACAGTATTATTTTGACTTTCCGCACAACTCATTGATGAAGTATTTCTTCCTTAGGAATTCACTATCTGGACGGAACTAGTTTATGAGCTCTGGTTCATACAATCGTGCATGTTTATGACAGTTCGCAATATTTTTTTTCCGCAACATTCTGCGAATATTTGGTGGTTTCTAAACGGCTTATGAAAAATTCCTTTTCGTTATCGATTGCTTCCAACATTTTCAGTAGAGTTATTGGTCTGTATTGGCATTTTCAAGAGTGAATTTCTTGTCTTTGCATGTGCTATATTTTAGCATTAGTATATTGTTTCCATTCGTTTTGTCCATAAAATTTGTGGAAATTTGTTTTTTTTTTCTGTGGCAATAAAGCATACTTTCTTGGATTTTATATTCACTTCATTTTAAAAATTTTGACAGCCGCTCAGTTATTCTGAACGTACAACTTTCTGCCTCCATAACTTTTGCTATGAAATTTCTGAGTTTTATCAGGAATAATTAAAAAAAAAAACAGGCTGATCGGCGTCAAAATTTCGTTTCTGTTGTATTTTTTCCGACGATTAAGCCAAAATTTTTCAAATATGGCTCTATCGTGACGTAACAGATAACTATAGGAAACGCTCGGGAATCCACCATGAACGTATTGAAAATATGACAATATTGAAAAAGAAAAGCGAAAATCGCAGTGTTCCCCAGAATCAATCCTATGTATATAAAATGCATACTTATAAATTTGTTCGTTATGCAATTTTCTATAAGATAGTTGGTCCGATATCCGTCGGATGATTTTAAATATTCGCTTTAAAATGCTCAAAGGTAAAAAACGAGGTTATTTCCAAATATTTATTGAACAATGGAAAAATAAGGCAAGGCCGATTAAGATCGGACGGACAGTTTTTGGATAATGCAATTGTTAAATAACCTACTGGAAAAAAACCCCTTTTTTAATTTTGTGCCAGGCTCAATGTTATACATGTTTTTTTGCGCCCTCACTTTTACACCTTCTTTGGCGCTTAAACTATCATTGCTATTTTAACTATTTTTTAATTTTTAATAACTTTTCGAGCGGTGTTAAAGTTTTAAAATTTCGGTTGTTTATATTTATTCATTTACATCTCAGCTTCTACTGCACGGATGTTGATTGATAAAAAATGAGAGGATTTCAATTTTTATAGCTACATTAATCAATTTTAAAAAGTAAACAATTGGTGGTCGATTTTCATAATTAATTAACCCAGCAAACCAAAACTCGCAACACTTACATACATATTATCAAAAATCACAAAGTCACACGGAAGTAACAGTTTACGTAAATATCTTATCACAAACTGATGCACCAACTGTGCCTTATGTCCGCCTCCAGCCAACTAATATGTGACTAATATGTTACATAATATTTACGTTAGACGAAGACGTTAGAAGTTATGACTTTTTATGTAGTAGTAGTAGAAATTGTATAATATTCACAAAATTTTATGTTCTGTGTGACCGACCTCAGAATTAATACAGGGTTAATCAATTGTCTCGCATAAAATTAATTTAAGCGATTTGTTCTAAAAATGCTTAAATACGGAACTTTATTGAAATAACTGTTCAACGTTTTGTTCTAACATTAATTTTTATTTGCAACCTCTGCCTACTAAGTCGAAACCACTCTGATATTGCAGTTTCGACATAAGATTCGACGGCTCCATGATGCTCTAGTATCACTTATCTTATTTTAAAGTAAGAATAAAAATGTATGTATTAGAAGGATTTAAATCTTCAAATGCAAAATCCGACATTATAAATCTCACCATTTAAATGGATACATACCAATCCAAATTTTGCTAACATTTAGCCCTTCAATTTTGAAACTGTTATTTCTCTGGTCCTTCCATGAACAAGGATTTATCGGCTTCGACAAGGGGCTCGGGAACCGATGCAACGTGAAGTTCAGCCTTAGGTTTCACCAAGTCCAACTTAGTGCAATTACGGCTTTGAAATTATTTTGGTCGGAAGAATCTTTAATTTTCAACTTCTTATTGGAAATTGAAGAACTCGTGTTAGCTAAAATACGGCGTTGATGCCGACCAGGAGCGGATCCAGCTTTTGAGTCAGGGGGGGGGGTCAAGTAGTAGAAATTCAGTCTTTTGTTGTACATGAAATTAGAAAAATTCTCGTTAGTCGTTAAAAACCCGGCACTAGGGGGGGGGTCGTGACCCCCATGACCCCCCTCCTGGATCTGCCCTTGATGCCGACCGGACAAACCTATGAAATCACATGGTCATTTTTGGTGTCTAGTCAAAGATAGATAAAAATATATATATCTGTTCACTTACCTTGCAATATTCAAAAAGTGGAAGGACTCTAACTTTCTACTTGTTAGGTGTGTTTTAAAACAATAGCCAATGCTCAATGCACAAACGAAATGCAAATGAACAAAAACTTGCGTCTGATGAAAAAAGTACCCAAGAAAAATGACCTGGCCTTCTTGACCAGGCTCATTTTCATAGGAGGGTTCTTTTGTGGGGCTCCACGGGTTGTCCGTGGAACTAAGTGGAATTCGTTAGAAATTTGAATTACACCAGATGGTACGCATCTGGTAAACCACGTTACATCACGGTTACATAACATCCCTGTAGGGATGACAAAACCAGTATTTTTCGGTCACAGGTTCCATGTGTGACTGTTCCAAGCTCGTATTGTTCCAAGCATCTGTGATTTTTTCGTACATGCTATTTTGGCCCATGATAACTATTGGTTTGTACCTGAAACCGGGCTGAAGCGTATTTTGAGTCCAATCGGATTAGACTTTAAAAGGTCTGTTTCGGGTACTTAAAAGATTATTGGAAGTTGTTCGGAAGGATGTCAGAATATTGAGGCAATAGTTTGTGTTAGATTTCCGGCTGTGGAACATTGTTTGTAAACAATTATTTATATATTATTAAAGAACTGTTGAACCGTTGATTCTATTGATATAAAGTTTTATCCTTTTTTTCAAGTATTAAAAATACCTATGGTATCAGATAAACTACATTAAAATCCGTTCATTAGTTTACTCAAAAATCGAAGAAAAAACCGTCGATTTCAGCGTGTTGTTAATTTTCAATAATTCATTTAGTTTTGTTTCAAGAAAATCGTACCATAACTTTTTTTGGTCAGTCAGTAATAAAATTTTCATTTATTGTACGTTGTAGTATAACTCTTTACGAGTAAAATACAGCCTTAGAGAAGTATCTCCAATGTCTCAAGAAAAACTCATTTAGATTCTGGCAAGAGCCCTTTTTACATAACAAATAGGAATGAAAAAAAAGTTATGAATATTTGAAACTAAAATTTATACCATTTATAAAGTATACAGCTTCAAAAAAAGTTATAGTGAGATTTTTTGAAGCAAAACCAAATTAATTATAAAAAATTGGAAAAAAATTACTTTCATCTATTTAGTGACCGGAAAAATCTAATCTAATGCGCCTGCACTAATTGTTCCATTGAAGGATATCCACGCCACATCTGAGTAATTTGGGTGCGAATCTGCTGGGTCAGCGATAAATTATGACCGAAGATCGATTGCCTTTTGTTCCTTGATGTATGCAATAGCTGATAGTAAGCCATAACATTTTTTATGAGTAACGTTTTACCATTTTATCGAAACTTTATTTGAACACAAAAAAAGGTGACCACATTTTCTATCTTTTTTCACTTAAGGGCAGTAAAATGTGAAATTTTTTTGCCTATCTTCTATTGTCATGCTAATTACTGATTACAATTCATCTTATCGCTTCATTGAAAATTGGCCATTTAATACTTCAGCTATGTTTGATATAAACAAATATTGAAACATGTCCAGGCTAGGTAAATAGGGCCTATATTTTAATAAATTTAAATGTAGTTCGTCCACTACTCCACTGGGCAAATGCCAGAAATGCTATTTTATTTCAAAAGCACAACTATTGGTCGAAAAAGAACAAGTTCCAAGAACAAGGAACAGCTCAGAATTCTGAAAAAAGAGTCAGTCAGTCACAGCCGGTGACTCACAGACCTGGTCACATTAAAGAAAATATCGGAGACGGCTGTTACTGTTGTTCCCGATATTTTCTGTTCATCGAATATTGCTGTTTGTCGAATCATGGGTGCATGGATTCGAAAATCATCAGGTCCCACGTCCCACTCCCATACATAGAAAAAACCTTATCACTTCATGAGAATAGAATATCTCATTTCACTAAAACTCAGGCCAATTGACAACGCCGTGGGGAATCAAAAGACACAAAAGCAGGTATTTACACACGAAATACTTGTCACAGGTATTTTGGAACAGATATCGATATGGAACAGTCGGTACCTGTTATCGATATTTAAAATAACATGTGATTTGAAATAACAGGGCTCGCCTACGATGCTGGTCAGTACCAGTACAACATCTGGGATTTCGATATTTCAACAAAGCAAGCAAAAACGCAAATACCTGTCTTTGTGCCTTTTGATTCCCTACGGCGTTGTCGTTGTCAATTGGCCTGAGTTTTACTGAAATTAGATATTTTATTATGAAGTGCTAAAGTTTTGTATGTATGGTAGTGGGACGTGGGACCTGATGATTTTCGAATCCATGCACTCATGATTCAGCAAATAGCAATAATCAATGAACAGAAAATATCGGGAACAGCAGTAACAGCCGTCTCCGATATTTCCTTTAATGTGACCAGGCCTCTGAGTCACAGGCTGTGACTGACTGAGTTTTTTCGGAATTCTGAGCGGTTCCTTTCCTTGAAACTTGTTCTTTTTCGACCAATAGCAGTGCTTCTGAAGTAAAATAGCATTTGTTGCATCTGCCCAGTGGAGTAGTGGACGAACTACATTTAAATTTAAATTTGTAGGCGATATTTACCTACATTTAGGAATGTTTTCCGGGCTTTGAAGCCGTGGTCTATCGGAATTTCTTCCTGACGTTTCGTTCACAACTGCGGTGGACATTTTCAAAGGCGATGAGGCAGTGGGCGAAGTGATCTCCCGTGCTTTCCGACTAAGAATGATTCAACTGCGGATGTTATGGAACTGCCCTTTTCGGGACTTTTAGGTTTTAAATTTGGAAGAGTTTATTTGATTGAGTACTTTGAGAAGTGACCAGTGGATTTTTTACCGTGGCACCTCTGGTTGGGGTTTGGGGGGAAAGGGGGGAAGGAAAAAGG